GTTTTTATTTCAAATGCATACCCTATAAATATACATTTTTTTTCCTTTGACTCAAGCTTTTTATCCCTCACATAAACATAAACATGATAAGCAAATACTCTCAACTGGGAATAATTAGTAGGTTGACCAAACCATAACTCAAAATGAGATTTACATTCAATAGCTATAGGTTGAAATCTATTAAAAAAAAAAAACAAGCAGTGTTAACAGCCTTTGCCACAAAATCATGTCTCAAACCTAAGTGTGACATCATGCTTCTTGCTATATCACAAATCGTTTTATTAATATGTTCTACAATAAAATTTTGTTATGGTATTCCTACACAAGTGTGGTGTCTTACTATGCTTTTTTCATTACAGAAATCATTAAACGTATGATTGCAAAATTCTAACCCATTATCAATTTTAAGACATTTGATTTTTCTTTCTATCTACTTCTCAATCATGATCTTTTAGTTGACAAATGTTAAAAATGCCTTATCTTTTCATTTTAGAACATATACCTAAAGTTTCAAGAGTAATCATCAATCACAATCATGAAGTATCTGACACTACTCTTCGAGGGGATTCTATTTGGACCCATAAATCAAAAGCTCAACTTATCTCTAGTCATATGCACTACCTTTTTATTTCGCTTTACTCTAGTCTATTTGTCAAACACACAGTATTTACAAAAATTCATGGCTACTTTTTTATATTCATCCAACAAATTTAGCTTATTTAAAACATATAACATCTTGTCACTCATATGACATATACCCAAATGTCATAACTTAATCTGATTCTGATCACTGCTCTTTGATGCTACAGTAACTTCTCCTGAAACTATAATACCCTAAAGAATATATAGTCTAGATTCTAAACTACCTTTCATGAATAAGATATAGCATTTACACACTATAAAAACATTATTTTCTGCATGATTTCTATAACCTTAAGAATCTAGTGTGAAAAGAGAAATCAAGTTCCTCTTCATCTATGGAACATGATAATGTTCAATAGTTCTGACAACTCAATCAAATATTTTCAATATGATGTTACCAACCTCATTGACATATAACGAATTATCATTACTCATATACACAGTACCACTCATCTGTTTATAAATAACGAACCAATGCTTGTGTGGACACATGTGGAATGTAGCACCTGAATCAATAAAGAAGAATTCTTTCCATGACCCAAACTCATAAAAAACTTACCTAGCAGTACCACTACCATTATTATTGGAATTATTAACGTCAATAATATTTATAGAATTCTCTTACTTCTTTCCCTTTTTTCTTTCAACTTAGAATAATTTCTCCTAAAGTGATCCTGCTCCCTGCACTCAAAAACAATTTTCTTTTTTAGCTCTATATCTTTATTTGACTTTTGAATTCTTCTTTCTAGAAAAAGTCTTCCTTGTTTATGCTCTTCCTCTACTCACCAAACTCTCCCATTCTATTTTATTTTTTGGAAAGTTCTTTCTTAACTTTTTTATTTTAATACATTGCTAATATTATGTAGTGAAATATTATCCTTTTTATAAAATAGAGTATCACAAAGGTCTCACAAAAGATAGCAGCAAACACATACATTGAGTCTATCCTCATTGTCATCATATATTATTCAATCATATGGTGATTAATTTATCAAATA